GGAGTAACCTCACCACTTTGCCCACCACGAGAAGGGAATCCCTAGAGCTCGATAACAGCTCTCGTATCGCTCTGAGATACGGACAATCACGCTTGTGGTTTATCAAGAATATAGGAAACTCGACAAATTCTATGTTTACAAATTAAAATAAATTTTAAAACAGCATCGGACCAATAATTAAGCTGCTCCCATGGACCTAACTCATTATCTCCATCATAACTAGGGTACAACCATGATAAAAAATGAAAGTGACTAATGATATTAAGATGGTCTTACAAATATCTGAGACTTGACAAATCACTGTGATTAATTTATTTCATGCAACGAATGCTACAATGTTCTTAATTTTATTGATTCAACTTGAGTAATGAAGTAATAAATAACTAATTCAGTATTTATGTAAAAAGGCCAAGATTACTTAAAATAATTATAAAAAAAGATTATATAAGGGGATTCTAATAGGCCTCAAACAAATCACTTTGTCACTAATTAAATAACGTCACGTAATCATAAATACCTACAATTTTGGTTCATGCGGTTATGCGGGTAAATACACTGTACTATATTTTTAGGGTATCTTTGCATTATTTTCCCTTGTATGATCGTTAAAGAAATAAATTATAATAATACGTAGAGCGTAATCTTCACCATTACTTTTGAAAGGTCATTAATACGAAAGATCACAGTTAAATCACTTCCTATTTAAAATATTCGCCTCATTTAACATTCCTTTAATGGTTCTAATCCTTTCAATAAAGCAACCCTCTCTCTCTGTTCACAAAATACCACCGTCAAGTCTTTCTCTTATTGTGATCTACAACAAACAATAGAGGGTTCCTTCAAAGCTGTAGGGGAGTTGGAAACGTAAAGCGTAATTATGATGATGCCTTAAATATTTTTTTTTTCTAAGCCAACTATAACTAAACTATTTAGAGAGATACGCGAAAGAGTTTTTCTTTTGCAAGCAAGATGATAAAATATGTTGGTTTTTGCCATTTTAACTGCAAAGTAGTTGTAGCAAAACTCTTTAAAAAGTATAACTTTCGGTTTCCATGTTTAGTCTCTGATTTCATACATAGATAGTTGGCTTTACACGTAGATATGTTATCTCCTACAAGAGAGAAAATAAACTTTGACTAATTATACAACAAGACATTCCATCCCCATTAGAAATGTGTAGCCAGTTTTTAATCGATATCGTCGTAGTTGATGTGAGCAACCTACAGATTATGCTGATCTAAATCACAAATTTCTGTCAAATACACAAACTCTTTAACCCATCAACTTGGTCAGCAACAATGAATAAGGTATAACAAATTAGTTTAGACATTAGTGCATTCTGTGACTAGTTCACATAATTATGTTCTTTTTAATGATAAATTGGCTACGCTGTTCCATGGTAGATCTACCATGATGGTAGGTCTACTTCAGAATATAATAGGCAATGAAATAAACTAACCGTTCCTGAATCATGTAAAACACAACAAACATACTTATACTGTAATTAAATTAAACATATTTAATGTTTTGCCCTATAATATTTAAATTTTCTCCGACAATTAATACCGGTTATGTATAATCTTTGGTTAAATATGCAATACTACTCTTACTTCTTACTTATTCTCAGCTTTAAGGAGTGAAACTTAATTGCACTTTGCCCCACAGTCTTTTTGTGATAAAGTAACACCTTTAATGTTGAATCCTCAACTAAAATATATACATATATTGCAAGGCATCCGTGAATGTCTACACAGTTCTTACCTGTGGTAAATTTGTAGCCCATTTTTGAATAAACTAAACCACTTGATTTAATGAAGTCTGCATCGCTGTTTTAATGAAATGTTCGTCTTCATATATTCTTATGTATTTAAGATCAAGTTAATTACTAAGAACAAATTTCTCCTAAGTTGCATCTATTGTAATCTCTTATAGATTTTGTAGCTAAAGGAGACATTTTTAATTATTAACTTTGAGTGAGTATAGTGTTACTCATCTAGTCTGTGCGTGACAGTGAATCGTCAACGATATAGGGGGATAACGATAAGACTGTTAACTACCAAACTGCGTTCACGATCCCCACCCTATCTATTTCCTCGGCCACACCCTCCTCGATGAGAATGATTGATTTTTTATTGATTTGATCTTTAGCTAATTACCAAAAGGATCCTCTTAAGGTCAGCAGTCTAAATAAACTTTAGTAATCATAATTTTATTAAAAATATTCACATAGAAAACTGAAACTTTAATCAGGTAAATCCAGCTGTGTGCCAGCTGTTTTATTCGAAAGCTATAAGAGATACCAAAAAAATGTTTAATTGTCACTGCCTTGGATGTTTCATTTTAAAAATTTTGGTCAAGCTGAAAAAATAATTGTAGTCTCCATTTTTCCAATATGGCCACCAACTTAGATTTTTCTTATGAAGACCCTATATTTTATGATTGATTTAGGAAGTAAAGACCATTTAAAAACGTTTGTATTCTTAGCATTCGTTCTCTAAGACTACTCATTAAGGAGCTACATGGCGCAGAATGTATACAGAAAGTAATTTTTCTTAGTTTTAACTAGCTGTAACTCACAAATGAGTAGTTTTAGAGAAAAAAAATCAGATAAACGTTTTTAAATGGCACTTACTTTCTAAGTAAATAATAAAATATAGCATCTTCCATAAGAAAAATCAAAGTTGATGGCCATATAGGAAAAATGCCGGATAAAATAATTTTTTCGGCCAAATATTTTAAATAAGAAATCCAAGGCAGATACAATTAACATTCTTTTGATATGTCTTATAGCTTTCAAATAAAACAGCTGGCACATTTATATCAATCACCATGTATACATTTATTACATAGTAAAAATTATACATTATGACACCAATAAATTGTTAGTTCTTCCCATATTAAAATTACATATCTTGAGGCCTCTTTAACAAACCACTTTCATTTATTGCACCTATTTAGCAACAAATTCTATTACTTTTTACCATAACTGTATTTGCTTTCGAGTTCATGACGATATAATATGTATAAATAAATATTGGTTGTTGAGAGCTAATGCTGCGTTGGCGTTTTCTCAGCCAATTTAGCCAATCTTTTTACTGCTTGAACTCTGTACTTAAATATTGCAAACATTTTAAGCTAACTACTTTAGGTGATCTGATGAGTATCTTAGTAACCTAAACTCTACGGTCAGTACCACAAAAATAACTCAATGAGATCATACTAACCACTTATTTTATGTTTCGTCAAATTATTAAGTTTAGTATTCGATACCTTTTTTTATACGTAAAGGTTAAGGCTACCAATAAATAAGTAACTCAACTAGCAGTAGCAGCTTGTATTAACTAGCGGTATTGTTATTATTAACCTCGCATTAATTTTGGGTTTTTTCTTGTCCTAGGAACCCGGGATTGTTTTTTACATTTTCATAGGGGTGCGGCATTGGTGATTTTTTTGTAATGGGGGGACTTTTAAGGAAGTTTGGGGCTTGGAAAGAAAGTTGGGAAGCTTTTTGGAAAATTATGGTGGACTTTTAAGAAAATATAACTTTAATTAGAAGTTAACGTCTATATGTATGACAAATAAAACAATACATGCTTACTGTATTTTATATTTTTTACGGTATAATCAAGTATTTTGTGAATAATACCCTTAAAAAGGTTTAAATACCTGCTATCAAGCAATCCATTTGGATTGCTTGATAGCAGGTATTTAAACCTTTTTAATATTATTTGGCAATCCGGAGGCTACGTCCACAATGAAAATAATACCCTCTTTCATAAGAGGGATGATTAACAGATTATAGAGTCAAGTTTCGTTTCAATAAAAAAAAACTGCAGTAGAGGAGATGAGAGTATTAACTACAACCCCATCTACTGACTAATGATGTGGGAAGTAAAGACAAGGTCTAAAGCTCCCTTCAACCCTTAATCTGATTAATCACTTTTAAATACTATTTTTATATTCAAATATAAAAAGGCAAGACTGGCTTCTTAACAGTATGTACTATTTTAGTAGTAGCAGTTATTTATAGAAATATCTAGGATTCTCAACGTACTTGAATGTAATATAGAGTGAATAGGGTAATAATATGAGACAAAAAAGTGTGTAACCAATTTACGTTATTTTTTGTTTTAATTACATAAATGTATAATTTTCTGGAGCAAACATTTTTAGAATCCGACTAGAGGCAGGACTTAGCAAAGATCAGAGTCAGTTTGGACATGTTCTGTTCACAGACCATTACTCACTGACTTCAATCTTATTACAAACCAACAGACCGAACGGGTTCTTAGAGATCGATCTTTAAAAAGCTTCTCCAAAGCTTTAAGCTCTGAAAGAAAATATATCATGTATAAAACTAAACACATGATGTGTGTTTTCTATGCTAAAAATAGTATAAAATACACATAGTTTTATACAATATATTCTTTTCGGAAACGAAGTACGATGTTTACATTAGTTTTTCATTTGAACTGTGGTCAAAATTGATAGTCTAAATAATGCAGGCAAGCAGTTTGACTCAGGAGCGTGAAGTTTGGCAAGGAAAGGAAAAGTTAGTAATTTGGTTAGGCAGTGGCAAGAGAGTTAATGTCCTTAAACTTTTGATACTTGAGTTTTGATACTTTAGAATAGTAGCCTGATATTTTTCTGTATAGCAACATTTAATTGTTTTTAAATTCTTTAATAACCATTGTTCCAAACTAAATTATGGTTTACATTGGTAATCAATTCTAAATATAATAGCCATAAATATAATTTCATACTAAAAGACAATTTCAAAAATAAGAGTGGACATTGAATTATATTTCTTTCTAATTGGGATGGAAACACCACTGGGTGCGTATGTTTACTGAAATATGAGGAAGGATGAGTGTAGAATGAATTGAGAAGCCTTTTGTAGGAGTTTTGCTTACTAATACTACACGTCAAAGAAATTTCAGCTGTTTCATTAGCCAAGATCATTAAAATATAATGTACAACTATCCAATGAACAAACAAAGATGATGGACGATGTCCCACTCTTCACTCATGAGGAGCTGGAGACTGCCGTTTTATCCCTAAAAAATAACAAGGCTCCTGACCTGATGGGGTACCTGGCGAGGCTCTTAAGAAGGTTTTTTCAATCAATCCCCTGATTCTTCTGAGCATGTACAACGCCTGCCTAGCAGAGGGGGTATTTCCGTTGTGCTGGAAAAAAGCTAGGCTCGTGCTCGTAGGGAAGGGGAAAGGAGACCCAGAATTGCCGTCCTCTTACAGACCCCTTTGCATGTTGGATACGGCTGGGAAAGTCCTAGAGAAGTTGATCCGTTCCCGACTGAATTCAGCCGTGGTTGCTGCGGGGGACCTGAGCCCTCGCCAATACGGCTTCAGGAAGGGGCGATCAACGGTCGACGCTATTGAGGAGGTGAAGCAAGCCGTGATGAGAGCTGAGGATTTTAATCACTACTCTCGTAGGGTTGTGCTGCTCGTTACACTCGATGTGCGAAACGCATTTAATTCTGCAAGATGGTGCGATATGCTGGACGCTCTGGAGAACAACTTCCACGTCCCGGCATACCTCATGCGCATTATAGAGGATTACCTCCGGTTCCGCCTCCTCATGTATGATACTACAGAAGGCCCGCGGACGATGAGTGTCACTTCTGGTGCTGCCCAAGGTTCCATACTTGGCCCGGACCTCTGGAACGTTGCCTACGACAGCCTCCTTAGGTCTGAAATGCCTGAAGAAACCGTTTTAGTTGGGTACGCAGATGACATTGCAGCTTTAATAGCTGCTCGTAGTGTTGAGCTGGCCCAGCTAAAATTAAACCGAGTCATGCGAACTATAAACGCATTGATGGCAGATCACGGTCTCTCACTCGCGCTGAACAAAACTGAGATCGTGATTCTGACCAAAAAGCGGATTGACACCATTGTGCCGTTGAGGGTGGGGGACGTCGAAGTCCAGTCCGTTCGTGCCGCCAAGTATCTTGGTGTCATGGTGGACTCTAAGCTTAGCTGGCGGGACCAGATATTCCGAACGGCGGACAAGGCTGCTAAGGTGATCTCTTCTCTTAGCCGGTTAATGGCCAATGTCGGAGGTCCTCGTTCCAGTCGCAGAAGGCTGTTGATGTCTACAGTTCAGTCTGTGCTCCTGTATGGTGCGGAGTTGTGGGCAGACGCGCTCAATAAGGAGGTGTATAGGATGCGGCTTGCCAGAGTGCAGCGTCAGGCAGCACTCAGGGTAGCATCCGCCTACCGAACAGTGTCTGAACCTGCCATCTTGGTGGTTGCTGGAGTAATCCCCGTCAAACTTTTGGCGGCGGAGAAGAAAGCGATTTATCAGCGGCGTGGAGAGGACCATGCAAAAATGCAGGAGCGCAACCGCACCTACCAGCTCTAGCAGGAGAGCTGGGAACAGGAGTCGCGGGGACGCTGGACCAGGAGACTGATTCAGCAAGTCCAACCATGGGTTGACCGACGGTATGGTGAGGTGGACTATTACCTTACCCAGTTTCTGACAGGTCACGGGTTTTTTCGGTCGTACCTGTTCAGGATGGGCAAAGCCGTGTCACCCGATTGCATCTACTGCCCAGGCACTCCCGACGACGCGGAGCACACCTTCTTCCGCTGCCAGCGTTGGGAAGGTTCCCGCCTGGAGGCTGAACAACATGTAGGGCAGTTGTTGGTGGACACGGTCATTCCGATGATGACGGAGGGTGAGGACAATTGGACCTGTATGTCACATTTCGTCCAGGATATTCTCCGCACAAAGAAGCTAGAGCTTGACCGAGATGCGGTCTAGGTCATAAATAAATTGAATGCCAGAAACGGCGCGAGCCCTGAGGGCTTAGGTCACACGTTGACCTGACCTGAAGTAATGTGACAAACAATCCCAGGTCTGTGTCCAACAGAGTAGAGGGGTTTTTTTAGTGAGTAGTCTGACAAGCTCAGGAGTCTCACACTACAGGCTGGCTACCTGTGTGCGTAAAAGCATTTTTACCTCCTCTCCCTTATATATATATATATAAAAAAAAAACAATGAACAATGACAGTTGTGTCAAGTTTCGAATCTTCTAAAATCTGAATAAATGGGTTACTTTTAAATGCAAGTTACCAACACAATACATACCTTACAATAGCAAGTATTTAGGTACACAGCATACCTCACAATATGAGCGCTATCTTGTCTCAAGGGAGCAGTGGAGATATAACGATGTCGTAAATCCAGTTATCAGATCTGAGGAGACAATGTTTGTATATGGAGCTGACACGGCTGCAATTTGACAATGGTTTCACCCTTAGTCATTCAACACCTCTATGACAAAATATGTATATATTTATCATCCTATTTTTACAACTAACAAGTATTTTCAATTGCATTTTCGTTATTTTGATTTAAAGAGCTAAAAACTCAATATTTAAAATACAGAAAGATATAGTGCAGAACCTATTGTAGAAAAATATATATTGTGGTAGCAATATGTAATGAAAATTTAACCTCACGTACAGTTTTGTACATTGGACTAATACTATATGCTTTTCTACTTATGTTAGGTTAAGAATGTATTGTATAAGTTGACCATTAAAACCTGCCTGTAATTATTTATTGCCTGCCAGTCTTTCTGAAAAATTAACTGATACCTACAACATATGTTTTGTTTTTATTTAAAAATATTGTAAATATTATCATTGATTGTTCCCTTTGTAAAAATACAGATCAGTTTAATAATTGTCCTTGTCTTTAATATTTTTAACATTTGGTGCCGAAACTCGTATAAAATTTCATGTTGACAGCCTCTGAATCGCTTTTTTCAATAAGTGAATGAATGGTTTAATTACCTTTACTGTCAAAGCGATCCTTGTAGTCTTAATAGGCTACTGCAGTTTCGATGACCTTTTCATGGTATCTTCTTCAGGCTATAGGGACATCATCTTCGTTCGTTTTCACGAACACGTCATTAAAACCATTGAACACACGGACACGAACACGAAACATTTAAACGACACATTAAACATAAAACTGTACAAATACTGGGACGGCAAGAGTGTGTGGTGGCGCATGCGGACGGCTGGTCTAGACTACCGGTTGTTTATGAATTGTTGAAGATGATGTCCCTATAGCCTGAAGAAGATACCATGAAAAGGTCATCGAAACTGCAGTAGCCTATTAAGACTACAAGGATCGCTTTGACAGTAAAGGCAATTAAACTATTCATTCACTTATCGTATAAAATGTCTACCAGGAAATCTTCTAGAGTCAAGAAATTACCTGACAGGTATACTCCTTCAATTGATGACTTAAATACTGAAAGGAATTTAGACCCTGCAAAAAATGATGAAAACCTAGAAGACAATAAGACATCATGTTCTCATGGTACTAGTAAATCTTCGAAAACAAGTCATCGCAGTAGATTACTAATTGAATTGGAAAAATAGAAGAAATGAACAGACTGGAAAAAGAATTAGAACTAAAAGAGATGGAACGTCAAAAGAAATTAGATGTAATCGAAATGGAACGTCAAAAGAAGTTAGATGAAATGGAACATCAAAAGAAATTAGATGACATGGAACGACAAAGAAAAATGGATCAGAGGGAACTAAAACGCCAGAAAAGACTGTTGGAGGTTAGGGCTGAACTGAAGTCTGCATCGGTCAGTAGCAGGCAAGACTCATTTTCAGAGGTAAGATCTATTATAGGCTTAAATGATGACTTAGAAGAAGAGTCCCATAACAAAGTTGAAAAATGGCTAGATGACAAAGAACAAGAGTCCAATGTCGTTCAAATGTCATCATCAGCTATTGTGTCTTCAGCAGTAGAGAAGTTAGCGGATTATTTTAGACAAGCCATTCATTCAGATAAGTCAAATACCATTCAATCCTTGCGCAAACACCTTCCTTCATTTGGTGGGAAACCGGAGGATTTGCCTATATTCTATTCCGCTTATGAAAAGACAAAGGCTTCCTTTGATGAGGAGGTCAACCTCATCAGAGTAAGAAATTCACTTGAAGGCGAGGCTTTCAAAATGGTAAGGCCCTTACTTGTTTGTGGAAAAAATTTGAATACGGTAATATCCACTTCAAAAATGCGGTTTGGCAGGCCAGAATTGATTCTGGAATCAATGCAAAGAAAAACCAGAATGTTACCTGCAGTCAAGGAGGAAGACATCAATGGTCTAATAGAATTCTCTACTTGTGTCCTTCATTTTACTACGACAGCTGAATCCTTAAAAATGGAACACTATATGACAAACCCTCAGTTATTGATAGAACTAATGGACAAACTACCTTATAATCTCAAGTATAATTGGGCTCAGCATGTGAGATCATTATCTTTAAGTAAGCCAGACCTAAAAGATCTTTCTAGTTGGTTAGAAAATCAGTGCTCACTCATGAGTATTTATTTCCGTCCCAAATCTGACACTTTAACTCGTAAGAAGTATGATGCAAAGTTAGTATTAACAAACTCTACAACTGCGAGACCAAATAGTTGTATATTTTGCAACGAAAAGCACGAAAGTGCTCAGTGTAAAACTTTCAGGAAAGTCAGTGTTCCTGAGAGATGGAAGATGGTTGCAGAAAGTAAGTTGTGTTTCTACTGTTTTCGTCAACACCCAATAAAGTTCTGTAATATAAAGAAAGCTTGTGGTATTAATAACTGTAAACTATTCCACAGTCGCTTACTACACACAGACACTACACCTGAAAAACCATTGTACACCAAAAAAGAACCTGTCTGTTCTTCCTCTCATGAAAATAAGGACTCTGACTATTCTACTGTCAAAACAAAAGAAATAACCGGTAAACACACAGAACAAAATACAACAAATAAAGTTCTGCTTAAGGTATGTCCTGTTACTCTTTATGGGCCTAAGGGCCAAGTTGATACCTTTGCACTTTTACATGAAGGTTCAACAATATCACTCATTGACTCTACCACAGCCGACAAGTTAGGAGTCGAGGGAGATATAGAGCCCCTCACTACCTGTTGGTCAAACGCAACATGTCACTTTGAATCCACCTCTCGTAAAGTTAGCCTAAAAATAAAAGGACTTTACGAGGATGAAGTATTCACCCTTAATAACGTCCGGACACAGTCACCACTAGATTTACCACTTCAAAATTTCGACACAGTTAAACTTAGACAGACTTGGTTTCACCTAAACTCGATTGACCAGCCCCTTCCTTCGGCACATTCCAAACCCTCTATCTTGATCGGACAAGACAATGCATCTCTTATTTTAACAAGAAAAGTGATAGAAGGACCTACCAATTCTCCTATCCTGTCATGGAGTTATCTAGGTTGGACTATGCATGGAAAGTGTGCCAAATTTGATGGTCGAATGAATGGAAATTTTAATTTGACAACATTTCACGATGACAAACTACATAATATAGCAAATGAATGCTTTCAAGACGAAAACTATGGAGAACCCACTCTTGATCAGCCCAAAGTCGGTTCATTTGAAACAAAACAAGCAATTGATGTACCAGAACGCACAACAAAAAAGGTCAAAGATCATTACGAAATCGGATTGTTACGGAAATTAGATTATTTCAAGTACCCTCCAAGTCGCGACAATGCCTTGAAGAGTTTAAAACCGACTGAAAATGAGAAAGGGCAAGAATCGAATGCGTTCAAATCAGACAATTCTACAGAAGAATCACCTCTTTTGATCATCAACGAAGACGAGTCAAGCGACAGTAAAGGGTCCACAAAAAGTGATACGAGCAGAAGTAATGGAATTCCAGCTAAATTGCACAGAAGGTCCAGTACTGTGACAAAGTTTAAGGACAATAGGCCGGCGAAGCAAAAATCTGAGGTGATGGACGAGGTGAGTCGCCATTTCCGACGGTCGTCGAGTGAGAAAGACTGTCCTTTAAAAAGCATGGTGGTAACGGAAAGTGACTTAGGCCGGCGAAGCAAAAATCTGAGGTGATGGACGAGGTGAGTCGCCATTTCCGACGGTCGTCGAGTGAGAAAGACTGTCCTTTAAAAAGCATGGTGGTAACGGAAAGTGACTTAGGCCGGCGAAGCAAAAATCTGAGGTGATGGACGAGGTGAGTCGCCATTTCTGACGGTCGTCGAGTGAGAAAGACTGTCCTTTAAAAAGCATGGTGGTAACGGAAAGTGACTCTTCGCAGAATAAGGCTATGGAGATCAGAAGTGAGAACATATCTAAGAGCCTCAGCATGAGTGTGATTAAGGACATGGCAGCCACTGGTGTTGAGAGGTGTACAGAGATTGATTCAGACGACTCGATGATTTTAGACAATGTGACCAAGTTCCCACTGAGGCCCACGGTCCGCAAGTCACTACCCACACAGCCCTCTTCAGACTCAAACTCAAAAGCTGTGGAGGCAATGAGGCATTCTCAACAACTAGAGATTGAGAAACTCTGGAGGCGGCACGAGCAGGAGATCAACGAGCTCAAACGCAAAACTGGTCTTGTCCCAATGGAAATGCGAGCCAATATGGAGGCAGACAATCAGCAAGCACTCCTGGATCTCAAACAACGAAGTAGAAAACGTAAGCTCAAAGTGAAAATCACTAATAAACTGGTTAGTACCAAATTTAATTAAATTTTCTAATGCTTAGTTCTTGGGGGGAAGAAAATGTAATAATTTATTGCCTGCCAGTCTTTCTGAAAAATTAACTGATACCTACAACATATGTTTTGTTTTTTATTTAAAAATACTAATCAAATATTATCATTGATTGTTCCCTTTGTAAAAATACAGATCAGTTTAATAATTGTCCTTGTCTTTAATATTTTTAACACTGCCATATGCAAAATATATATT